AATTAGCAAAGGAAAGGTTCACATAAATTAGTATAATAGATACATGAAGCAGTAAGTTAAAGACAACCAAAAATATTACATCCAAAAAAAAACAATAAAAATTCTTATAACAAGTAGGGAAATGTCATATAAAATTAGCATAAATTAGCACAGAAAAGATTCGCACAAATTAGTATAATAGATGAGAGAAGCAACAAGTTAAAGATAACCAAATATATTGCACCCTAAGAAAAAAAAGCAAGTTAAAGATAACCAAATATATACCAAATATATTGCACCCTAAGAAAAAAAATAATAAGCAGGGAACTGTCATCTAAAACACCAGTAAAACTTCATATAACAAGCTGAGAAATATTGTTTGAAACACTAGTAAAACTTCCAATAACAATCAAGGAAATGTTTGAAATTAAAACTAAACAAGTATCTACATCTAGCTTTATCAATTGACTAAAGAAGGGACATCATTGTAAAAGAATGAAATCTAAGGTCAATGAGCTTGAAAACCTAATATAATCTAACAAATCAGTAACACCATGTGATTGATTTTATTGAAATATAACTATAAATTTAGGATATTTTAAGGAAAAATAATTATTTATCTGACAATCTTTTCTCAGCTGTTTTACATTCATTGTGTAGGTTGTTTTTTTTTTTGTTGCTCTACCATAATAAACAATAGGGGATACAAATCAAAAGTTTGAAGTCTGAACACAATGCAGCTAACACATATACATATATAATAGAATCTCACAATTAAAATAGATTTGTGTTATTGATTTTAAAGAGATAAAATAAAGTGGCAAATCTTTGATTTTAATTCTTAATAGGTAGCAAAGTAGAAAGTAATGATTATAGTATGAGAAATAATAATAAAAACATGTAAAATAAACTCATTGAAAAAGGGTGCAATTATTTCAATATGTTTATTTACCAAGATATAGATAACATAAATGATAATAATTTGTCTAAACATAATAGAAAAAGAGAAGAGGTAAACATATCTAATAGAAGGAGATGATGATTTTTATAAGAAAATAAGGATAATTTGATCTGGTTTCTCACTATTTTTTGGTAAAGTGTTTGGTTGGGAAAGAACAAATTGATGTTGAATCTCGGAATTTCAATCTTAATATTGGAAAAGAAAAGACACATAAGACAGGCAGCTCTGATGATCCCTTGAAGATTTTAAAAGAAATATAAAAAAGATAAGGGTGTTTGGAAAGAAGATAATGGTATTTTAGTTTTATAACAATGATTTTTTAGTTTTTTTAAAAAAAAAGGTTGTCGAGAGAGAAACAAAAACTCATCAAAAACTAAAACAAGATGCTTACGTGTACATGTGGTTGAATAACATTTTTTATAGGTTCCACTCTTTAAAATTATGCTTTAGTTAGCAACTAAACAATTAATTATGATAGTTTAATAAGAAACATAATATCTCCCATAAAATCAGACCCAATCTTGCTTAGTTTGTTTATCTTATTGGAGACATTTGACATGCATGGACACCCGATTCCTTCTCCGGTCTTTAATTATATGAAGTTTCTTTGTGCTATTTCATATGTACTTTTTTCTTTAATCAGAATGTGTGGTGTCAAGAAGAAGGCTCTTGACACCACACATTCTGATTTCAAAGACCTTTACTTGCATGAAAGAAACCAAAATTTTCTCAGGCACTGCCTTGTAAAGGGTAGGGAAGATTGTTTCACAAGCTGAATTTTGCAGAATTGCAGTAATCAAGAATGATAGGTATAAGTGTTCAATGTTCATTGAGAATAGTGTATAGTAATGTATCTATGTAACATGAATACGAATAAATCATTCATGCACAGTATAGTTTCAGGGTATATACCATGATAATGATAATGGTAATAATTTTTAATTTTTTTCTCGTGATTTTACAGCTTCAAATAAAAAGTTAAAATGATTTTTTATTAAATATTAAAATAAATTATAAAATAGTTTTTTTATCGATTAAAATTTTCTTAATGATTTTCTTGAAAAGGTTTAAAGTATTAAATATATTAAGATATAAATGAGTTGTTAGAATGTTTTTTATTGGAGTGCATGCAAAAAAAAAATTAATATATTAATAAAAAGAGCTTTTTCCATTAAAATTATTCTTATTAAGAAAAATGAATTCAAGAATATAAAGATAAACAGGCAATTTCTACAATCATAAAAAGATTGATCAATTAATATCCTGAAGGAGCAAGTGACAGTCATCTATTATTTAACCGTCGGTCTATTAGCTTTGATAAGTCATTGGGAGTAAATTATTATTTAATTCTTGTACGTTTGAGAAGGACAATTTAAGAATCTTAAAAAACGATTTATTGTCAACTTTCACCAAAGACTGCCTCATAATTTTTTAAACCACAAAAAATAACTCATAAATAAATAAAAAGAATTAAAATATAATTTACTCAGCGTTAAGTGGGATGACAAGCCATTAACAGCTCTTTGGAATTTTATCAACTCAAGGGACCTCCTCCTTTCACACTCTGCCACTCTCCCTTTCCTATGGGAGGGTTTATTAAAAAACAATTAGCACATAAAATCATTATTTTTTTACATTTAAAAAAATATTTATCTCGCTCTATGCTAAGAGAAACTAGAAGGCTAAGTGACATTACTATATTATTATTTTTTTACTGTTGCTCAAATTTATTGCATTTGAAATAGTAAAATTATAATTTTATCCTTGTTGACAAAATACAAATAACTTTGAAAGCAAGTGTAGATTAGTCTTTTAGTATATTTAATTATACAGTAAAATAACCAAATTATTTTTTAAATTAAAAAATAGTACTTGGCCCGGAAAGGGCACTTTGGTTTTATTCATTTCAAGTATACAATAAAATTATCTAAATGACCTTACTTGGAAATTGTCTTTGCCTTGGTCAAGGGGTTTTATTGTGTTTTTCACTTGATTTCTTTTTTTTCCTGTGTTGTTATCAAGCCTCAATAGGAGCATTTTAGTATTTAGGTATATGTACAATATTAATTCATTTATAAAAAGTTAATTGAGTGTAAGGATAAAGTGGAGTGAGTACTGACAGCATGTGCAATATTATTTAATGATTATACCTTGTTTTTTATAAAAGTATTTTAATCCTCGTAGCATCACTTTTATTACTGGATGGTTCATGTTGTAAAAAAATTATAGTTTTTACACCGGTGACTGTTTCTTTTTTCTTTGCTTTCTCCTCCTTAATTCTGGAGCCTTCCCTTAACCATTTTCAAAGCGGCCCTTTAATTATTTATTTTTTTATATTTATTATTTATTTTTTTATTATTATTTCTTTTATTTTAAACATTCCATAGAATTAGAATTTTTTTTAATTTAATAATTATATTTTTATTTCTCTCAAATTTAATTTTTATTCTTTTAATTGTTAATTTTTTTAATTATTATCTTAATGAAATTATCCTGTTTCTTTTTTCCTTTTTTCTTTGCTTTCTCCTCCTTAATTTTGAAGCCTTCCCTTAATCATTTTCAAAGCGGCCCTTTAATTATTTATTTTTAGACTTGTAATTATATCTTTTTTTATTAAAATTTTATTTTTTTAATTTTATCACTCAATATTTTTTTTTATTTTTTTAGTTTATTTTAAAAATTAAATTTTATATTTATAATTTTATTTTTTATAAAATTATTTCAATCTCATAAGTCATGGATATTATGTGTTAATCCAACTTGATCTTATATTATCAAATTAATTGAGGTTTGACCTTACTCTTGAGTTAGTTTAATATCAAGTGAGTTGAGCAAAATCAATAACACATAGCCACTTGTTTTAACATTCAAAATCAATAATACCTGTGGCTTGTCTTGACGTTCAGATTTAATAAAGCACGGCCTCTTGTTCGCTTGCAATTCTTCAAGAAAAGCTCCTCCTCCTTCCGATTCCTTTCCCTTTTTTTATTGTAATTGATAATGGAAGAAAAAAATAAAACCCCTTAATTAAAATCTATATATGGTGTATAAAAAAATTGAATGTAACTGGAATATTGGTCATGCCAAAATAGTCAAGGCAGAGGTTTATAGTGACAGCTCTCATTCACGCTACGCGTTGATTTCCCCGACTTAAGGGAGATAGTGGCCATTAGAGCGGTCCCTATGCCTGCTTTGACAACTACAGATGACTAACGTTAACCTCCTAGTCTTGACCCTATGCCCCTTGTTCTGTGTAGCTGCATATTCACAAACTTTCATTGCCATAAGATCTACAGTTAAAATAGTATTTTATTAGTTCATTTTCACCGGTTAGTCTTGTCAAAAACACTGCTAGATTATTTTTCAATTTCATTTCTCATGAATTAATTTTAGAATCCATAAAATTAATCAAAATAAACACAAAATTAATTTCAAAACACATGAAATTAATCAAGATTCCACATTAATTAAAAAAAATAAAGTTAGCTATGGAACCTATTTAGATTGATACTAAGAACCCGAACAAGCAAGAAACATGGCCAAAAAATTATATAAACCTCCCATAATCTTAAAAAATTTAAACTCAGATAATTTACGTGGCAATCTAAACAAATTCAAAAAAAGCTCCATGATCCATTCAAAACATGGATAGACCTAAATAGACCTAAAAATACAAGGAAGACAACATCATTTCAACCCTCCTTTTAATATTGAATCATATCTGTTTTTAATATTGAATCATCGATATATTTGACTGAGTAATTAACCAATCAAAATATATTTGGTTGGTGAAATGTAGTCAACCAACTTTTTCTCGTTCAAAGTTTTGCAGCCAGTTTTTTTCTCTTTCAAACTCAAGGGCAGAAAGACAATAAAATCATATTTTGGACCAGATCATAAAATTTCCAAACTAAAAGGACTGAAAATGAAAAAAAATATAATCACAGCCCAAAAACTTGAAGAAAAAAAATGCGCAAAATGAACAATGGTCTATATAGGATGATACTCGTATCGCAATGCTGCCAACATGCAATCGATCAGAGAGGAACCGGAAAACCCATAACATTCAAGTAATTAGAAATTCGACTAACAGCATACATTTCAAAGATACCATCCAAAGTATAAAATCACTGATTTGCAAACCACGCAGAATAAGAAGGGTCCAGGAGGAAAACAAATCACAGCAGAAACTTGCAACACAACAAAGAAAAAGACGAGGCACATTGTCTTTTCGAAAGGGAAGACAGATCCCTTCATTTCATATCTAGAACCCCCTATACAATAGTTAATACCCCCTGATATGCAAACCTTCTCCAGCCTATAATGAGAGACTAAACTAAGATTCTGCAGCATTGATGTCTAGTCACCTATAACACCACCAATTTACGTACTCTGAAAGCTAAATTGTTTTCCCCAACCGTTGGATGATCCAAAAATTCGGATGTTCATCGCCAAAAGGTACACAAAGTTGATGGCTATCTAAACAAATTCCCCCTTCTGTGAGATGAAGTTAGGCATAATCTAGTTTTTTTGGGGACAAAAATGTTAGAGATAGTTAGAACTGCCAAAGAGCTTAGGCTGGAACATATGTTAGTCATGGCAAGCAAAACTGCAATTGCTCTTAACATATCCACACCAGAAATACTGTTTAGCAGGCAGTTCACTGCAAACTACTAGGCATACCAGTTGCAGGTATAGAGGCAGCTTGGGAGAACGTGTGATGAACCATCGTAGTGCCATTCTCCAAAGCACCCACTAGAGGTGCACTGCCCTTGACAGTTTGCTCCAAAAGTTGAACAAGAGACATAAATATTTCCATCCTTGTTACATCCCTGTTTGCCTGCATATGACACTTGAATTTAGAAGACCAAATGCGAGGATTGTAAAAGACGTGCATTCATGACGCATTTAGTATGCTTTCAGCACACAATAATGGGGCAACCATAATTAAGATCACTAGCAATTTAAAGAATATATTCTGAAAATTACACTAAAGCATGGTAGTTTGCACAGCACAACAAGTGCCAATCAGACACATTTTTACCAAGGTTATGCATTTCTTTTCCCATAATCTTGTGGTTAGGGATCAGATGTAAAAGAAGACACTCATTTGGCATATTATTATTTAAAAACTATGCTCTACCCGCCTTGAAGAGGAATGATGAAAAGGACCTTTTCTTCTATGCATTGAGGACATAGAAGCCAGTAATGCCACTGGAAAGATCGTCCAAAAAGGTGAGGGCACCCCACATTCCTTCTATGAAAGGTTACTTGGGACCAACAGTTGATTATGCATGCAGTATTTCAGTTTAGAATCCTACCTCTACAGCAAAACGCGCCCAGATCTTGTCATTTCGAGTTTCCATCAGCCCCTTCAGGATTGTCAAACCCAATCCCCTAATTAAGTCAGCTATCTCTAGAAAGAAACCTCGTTCTTCACAAAGCATCTGTCATAAGAGGAAATACAAGATTCAACATATAGGATAAAAGAAACTTGTTAAAACCAACAACTCTAATATCTGAGTGAAGAAAAAAAAAAAAAAGGAGCTGTTACCTCAACGAGCATCTGACGAGGTGGATTCAGATCTTCAACTATGATAGGACAGACCATAGATTGTGAACCGACTTCAAATGCCCATGTTGCCCCTCCCTCAAAATTTTCCTTCAAAAGTAGTCCACTTTCCTTGTTAAGAAGCTGCAAATTTACACAAGAACAAAATACAAATCAGAAACATTTCTCTCGTTAGTAATTGTTCAAAGCACAAAATGTCAAAAAATGGGCTTATATAAGAGTAATTTAATCATTTCCAACATGCATTATCTGAGCATAAATCCTGACTGATGTCCTTCATAACTGTACTTGATAGGACAGATATCCCCATATCAAGTTTATGCCAATGAAATTTTGTAGGCATTCCCCATTCCTGCCCCCAATACCCATATGCTGCGGTACTAGACATTGTTTTGACAAAACAAGAGTATTATGTTCCCTCCATTAAGTTTGGAATGGGCAGGGAACAAAGCAACACCAGCACAAATTATCATGCATAAGATTATACATATATATAGTGTATGCAATTGATACCTTGGAGTCCCCAGTTTGTTTCAGTTTATCTGCATGCTTTGTCACGCTTTGCAAGAAAAGCATATGCTTGATTGTGCGTTCAAGCAGAGCATCTATGCTACACTGTTAGACCACAGTAACAGAAAGAATAGTATCAAATCTGACTGCCATCGTTAGCTATCACATGAAAAAGACATGCAGCAGAAGGATTAAAGAAATGCATTACTTTTGCTCCATTTGGTACAATCTCACGCAACTCCTTAACACGATCTTGGATCATCTGACGATCTTTCGGCCTAGGTCTTGGGTTCTCTCCAGCTTTAAGCCTTTTGCGATTTGGCTTGCTTGTTTCATCGTTTTTCTTGGAAAATGCAGTTGAAACACTGCAATCATGCCGAGCATTATGCCCTTGCTCAACCCAGGAACTCAGTTGGGACCCATAAATGGAAGTAGTTTGAGAACAAGTTCCTACATCATCCTTGCTGCAGCCAGATCTAAAAGAGCTAGATGCTATGGTCCCTGCTCTTTTTGGCAGGCAAATTAACTCCCTTTGCACCTGATCAGACATGCCAATCCTACCATAGGTGGGAGAACCACTGGAAAAGGATGGCATACTAATCTTTGTCAATGTTGTTCTGCAAGAAACATTATCATCTGAGCTCTGTTTGGCAGCAGAGTGTGCCTTAGATACCACAGCATCTAAAAGATGGTCAGTACCCGGGTCAGAGAACATGTTACTGTCTGAGACTCCTCCAGTAAGTGAAAAAGGATCAGAATTTGCCTCCCGGATGCTCATAAATGTTGAAGCATCTTTAACTATATCTTGTGTCTTCAAATATGGTTTGTCCCCAAGTAAATTATTCCACTTGCCGTTGAGTAATTTGTTTTTAAATTCCACACCCAAAACATCATACAAGTCATCCCCAGAGGGAGGTTGAGCACATGGTTCCTCGCGCTTAGCATTTACAGTAACAGTATTCTGACTTCCAGAAGCGCTCATCAGGCAATCATTAACGGAACCAAGAACATTCTCACCCAAATATACAAGTTCACCTGGTTGAGCCAGCGGGACATTAAGTGCTTGAAATAAATCACCTTCAATCTTTTTTTCCATTGTAGTTGCCTCCTTTTTAGTAGGCTTCACATCTGTGTGGGGATATTCAAGATTAGAACCCCCTGAAAGAATGCCCCTCGCACTTAATTGATCCAACAGACCAGATAAATGATCATCCTCTGCCTTTGAAGAACCAACATTTTGAGTCCCAAACCCAGCCAGAAGCGTCGATGAGTGATTGATATCTGCCAATTTCTCTGGTTTTAAAAGGGGACAAAGGATGGAATTTGCTCTCCTCTTAGTGCCCACTACACTAGGTAACTGTCCAGATATATGAGACTGTCCAGATATATGAGAACCTCCAGTAGAATTAAGAAAATGGCCTTCATTTTTCCTTGGGTCAACCATAGTAAGGCCCTCTGATTCATTTTTATAGTGGCTAACATGATTTTGTGCACCAACATCGGAGAAAATCTGCTGTTCCAGTAATTTTAGTATGCTACTATTGGTATTTGACTGACTAATAATTGGTCGATGATTGAATCCAAGTCTTAAATTGCTTGATGAAGTCTGGTGGTTCACCCACGCACCAGGATTTGAGGGGATCACTTCAGCTCCAACAACTCCATTTGCTAGCTGGCCCATGAATGGATTGTCTGGCTTCATAAGTGAGGTAATGTTTGGTTCACGGAAGTCATCACAAGATTTAGTTAAAATTCCAGTCGCATTGGGGATATGAATGGCCGAAGAAGTAGCATGTTGATCATCCTGAACCTGTCTAGTTTGAGAACAAGAAGGTTGACCAACAATTCTAGAAGCCTCCTGAGATGAGATTATTTGTTGGTTGCAGCTGTCCGCCAAGGAAGGAGTGGAGTTTGGCACCTTATAAGTTCCAGAAAAACACACTGGAAGAGCCATTCCACAGGAAATAGGCATTCCAATTCTTTCTGTGGGTTCTTTTTCCATATGGTTGTCAGACAGAAGTGCTCCAGGGACACACCCTAGTTGCAGGATCAAACTCTTCACATTATTCACGAACCCAATATTCTCCATAATCTGACAGTAAAGATAAAATATAAATACACAGAGCAACAGGAAAAATTCTTTGACATAATGAATAAGTGACCAGTTCCATACAATATTGAAATCACAGGTATTGCTGTAGAATCAGTGGTGATGAATAAGTAAGAAATAGATTGCCTCAGAACTCTACATCAACTCCAGTAAACAGCTATGCAAATATATGATGGCTATATTGAAAAACAAATTCGTGACTAGAAGGAATTTAATAAAACCAAAACCAAAATGGGGCACCTTTATGAAACAAGCAGAGTGGAAAAGACCAAAAGATAAGAAAAATAAATCTAAACAACAAGTGATACTATTTGCACAATATATCATTGCAATTAAAAATTCAATTCATTAGCACATCAAAACAACTGAATAACAAAGACTTACAGCCAAGGAAGAACCAAGTTGAAGTACACCATGAGGACAAACAGGAATAACAGCAATTGTCTGCCAAAAAAAAACTAAAACTTTCATGGAAGGCAGATTGAAAATTGTTGCAGAAATTAGAACATATGGAAAGCTTACAAACCTGCATCCCAGCTGAAAACTGGTGATGAACCTCATTTAAAACCTGTAGAACAGACAAGATTGAAGTTATAACAAGTTCATCTACTAACAGTGCAGCTGCATTGCATTTCACAGGAAGGACACGCTACTATTGCATTAAGATGCTGTCGTTTAACTTTCCATCAAGATAATAGAATTCCACCATTTCCTCTCTCTGTTAAATTCTGTTACGTATTATCATTAGAGTATGTGTACTAAAGATGAAAAAGGAGAAAACAAAAAATAGAACTTTCAATGGAATGGACTCCAGCTAGCAAATTGTCCAACTAAGAATGGCTAGTGGATACTGATATGCAATCTCAATTAGTGTAAAACATTATTCCATAGCACAGGATGAAAAATTATGTAGCGTACTTCTGGAGGATGGGCATCTTTACTGTAATTATTTGCAAGAATCCACTCATGGTTTCCTGTAAACGCAACACGCCCAACGATTCTGGAAAAATAACAAATCAGACTTTCAATTGGGCACAACAGGCAGTCATAATGTGAAACTAAAATGTAAGGTAAATGAAAAGGAAGAAAAACATACCCTTCGCCTACAATATTAACCTGATTATTCACCATCATTTTGTTAATAAGCGAACAGAGTCTACCCCCCGCTTGAATTCCAAGATGAGAAGAGTGGACATCAGAACCAAAGTGTCCTTCCCACTCTCCAAAAGGAAGTGCTAGGTTCTCAGTTCCAGAAGTACTTGGTGGAACTGAACATGATGTTGGCTCGAAGTGACATTCCTCCCAGATTAACAACCTGCAAATTAACATAATATGCTCAGATCATTCAACTCTATAACAGAATTGAGCAAGTAACTAAGACCAAAAAAAAATCCCACCTTCTGTTTAGTTACCAAAACGCCAAAGGAAAAAAAAAATTAGATACCATTTTTCTACCCCTTTTCTTAACATCTTCTCAGGATCCAAACAGAAGATAACAAAAGAAAATAAACTCAACCATTCAGCAGAATCTTCAGTTGCTGATAAAATCGTAACTGTTTCTTTCTATTCAAAACCAAGATAACAGGACGGAATGGAATCGAGCAAGCTAGGACGGAATGGAATCAGTAGATTTGAAGAACATAAAACCATTCCAATACAGAAAGGGTTTAGTCAAACCAATACAAATCAACTTTTTACTTAGATTCTTAAAGACAAAACAGAATAAACCAAAACACAAGGTTCCAAAAACAGAGGAAAAGAAAGGGTGTATTAGATTGCGCATCCCACATAAGACAACAGTGACCAATCAGACTTCTGACCGAAAAAGAAAAAGAAAAAGAAAAGGAACAGCCAGACTTTAACATATCATTCAAAAACAAAAATAGCCTAAACAGAAGAAAATACTGATGTTGGACCCTCTTATTGTTTGGTAACCGAGAAAATACTTCAAGAACAAAACCCAGAATCCTGTGTTAACTCCAGAACAGACAAAGGTAAAATCACTCATCAGATCCTCTTTGTTTGGTCACTCAGAAAATACAGGAAAAGCACAACAAAAAATAAAAGAAAACTCCAGCAAAAGATACACCACAAATTCCACTGTTCCCTCTATTTTCCTAACAACCAAGCACAAAAGCACAAAAGAACTCAGAATAAATGTAAAAACCCAGGAAACAGAAAGCCTTAAATAAATTCAAAGTTTCAGCCCTTTTTTTTCTTCGTTCAACTCCATTTTCTTAGCAACCAACCATACCAAAGAAAGAAGAAGAAAAAACTTACTTAGGATTCTGGCATCCGATCTTCCAAAAAACAGCATAACACCATTGATTAACACCACAAAGTATCTTCAAAACTTCCCTCAACAAAAGACCCATCTCACAACTTCAAACCGACCTCCAAATCAAGGCTTTCCTTAAACAACAAGAACAACAACTTAATAGCACGAAAAAAGTTACAAAAGTGGAGTCGCTGGTTTGTATCTGGTCAGAGCCAAAGACAGCACATTTCTTTGACAGTCTAACTTCCACGACAGGATCCTCTCCCAGCCTGCTTAGTTCTAAGACCACCGCTCCTTTTTCTCTCAGGATCCAAGCTCACTGCTATTAACATTCTCTCGTAACCCATCCCCACCACCGACACGCGAAAACCCCCGAAGATTTTCAAACAACAGAACAAAAAATAGCTAAAAGTCCCTAGATTATGCCACAAGCTTCTAGCTTGAAGGTAGCCTTGATTTGCTCCATTTTTACACACAGTAAGAAGGAAAGATTGAGAAGGGAAAAAAAAAAAGAAAAGGAGAATAATACTAAAATCTTGGAGGAGGGACTGTGTTTTGCGTGTGTATCTTTGGTCCTTGCTCTCTTTGGTTTTGGTTTCTCACTTGGCTTGGTGAGGTTGCAGTGTTGAGGGCTCAGCTGCTTTCTTTCTCTCTCTTTCCTTCCGTCTGATAATATTCTCTTCTGATTGTGTTGTGTTGTGTTTGAAAAAAGACTATTTTTTATAGGTGTTTAAACGACTTTATAGGCGACCTTGAAGGCTAGGATCGAGGATTTTTATAGAGTATGGTTATTGCCTTTCTAAAAAGAATATACATATATATATATATATATATGTATATTCTAAAAAGAATTATTACAGAGTATGGTTATTTCAAGATATTCTAAAATTTTCCGCCAGCATCATCCTCCTCGAAATTAAAGGGTGTTACTTTAGAAGTAAAATCTATTTAATCTTTTGATGAGAGGGTGTTTCTTTAACATTATCTAAGATATAGATTTGATGATGTCTTGAAAATCAAATGGCCTTGTCAGATGCCCGAAAAGAAACTTTTTTTTTTGTAAATTTTATGAATTTTTAATATTTAAATAAGTATTTAAACAAATACAATGATATAATAAAAAAATATTCTAAAAATATATATTTATTAAATTATAAATATGTTCTTTGAATGAATTATTAGCTTTTTATAATTTATGAATATTGATAATTAATAAGAACAAACATTTTTTATATATAATTAATAAGAATAAATAGCTATCATAATTAATGAGGGATAATGTATAATATCATCTTAAAATCTTTTTTTTTCATTTAAAAATATAAAAAAAATAAATATTTTTGATCTTAACTATTTATGTTAAGGGTCACAATAAAAACAAATGAAGTCTTGTGACTCAATAAAAAATTTAGAAAAATCATGAATTTTATATTTTATTTAAACTTGATAACATGTCAAGCTTAAAAATATTAAATTTGACAACTTGCTAGAATACTATGTATATAAGGTTAGCATGTAACTTAACTCAAAGATATTATATCATTACCATACTTGTGATTTTTTGCTAAACATGGATTCTAGTCTCATACATAATTAATGAGGGATAATGTACCATATCATCTTAAAATCTTTTTTTTCATTTAAAAATATAAAAAAAAAATATTTTTGATCTTAACTATTTATGTTGAGGGTCACAATAAAAACAAATAAAATATTGTGACTCAATAAAAAAATTTAGAAAAATCATGAATTTTATATTTTATTTGACCTTAATGACATCTCAAGCTTAAAAATATTAAATTTGGCAACTTGCTGGACTACCATGTATATAAGCTTAGCATGTAAAAAATCATGTGATTTTTTGCTAAACATGGATTCTAGAAAAAATATAATATAAAATATGTTGATCCATCAAGTTTAAAATTATTAAAAATAATTTTAATTTTGATAGGATATTAATTACCATAAGATAAGAAAACATCATCTTCATATTTAAAAAAAAAATTATGTAAACAAATTTTATTTTTACTAAATGTATGAGTTGGATATGAATATTATATTTAAAGTCTATAATGTGGGAAAAAAATCACAAATGAAATATATTTAACAGGTTATGTTAATTGAAAATACATTTCCAATATCATAATAATGAGATATATTTAATAGGTTATGTTAACTAAAATTACATTTTGTTTTTAAATAATTTTAATAATACAACTCTTTATTGATTTGAATTTTAATTTTCAAAAATTAAGGTTGGAACTCAAAACATTGTAAAAAAAAAAAAAAAACCTTATTGGCAATGAATTACTTGATCTTAAATTGATAAAACCAGTTATTTGACTTGGAGGAGTTAGATAATTTTTCATCATAAAATAAATACACAAGTCTTTCTAATGATTTTTACGAAAAAAAAATTATAATTATAAATTGAAAAGTCTATACATATATTTAATTAAATAAATTAATAATTATTTTTATTGGTATATATAAAAAATAGTATTGATAGTTCTATTCGACTTGCCTCGTTGCGGGTTGAATACACAAAAGATATATATAAAAAATAGTATTGATAGTTGCCTCGTTGCGGGTTGAATACACAAAAAAATAAATATATAAGTATTATTAATGTATTTTTTTACATTGAGTAAAATATATAATTATAAATTAAAAACTAATACTTACATATAATAAAATAAAACAAAAGGAATGTCATATATGTTTACAAAGACTTGTAAAACCTTAAATTAATTTTTATTGTAATAATAAAATAAAATAATATTACAATTGATATAGTAAAATATTATTTATTTTTAGTTCTGTATAATATTTTAAAAAAGTGTAAGAAAAGAAAAAAATACAAAAGAATTAAGGTATGAATAAATGGTATAAATAGAAAGTAAGTTTTAAAAAAAAATACCAAGAAAATATAGATTTTCTACCGTTACAGTAAAGATATTTTTACAGTGAAAAGTGTTTATTTTTAATAAATATATTACGTAATAAAACCTAAAAAAATAAATAAAAAAACTTGAAAGGGCACCATAACAAACACAAAGGGGAGGGAGGGAGGCAGGCAGGGAGAGAGAGAGAGAGAGAGAGGGGGGGGTTGGTTGGGAAAGAAGTATGGATTTGAGAGGAAATTACAAGGGATGCCACTGACAGTGGTTCTTCACTGATGTTGGAGAAAACAGTAGTGCAGGTTGCTGTCTAGCTGACGTCACAAATACGATTACCCTTAATTTTGATCAAAATTACAGGAATGGTATTCGTCCCTTCCTTTTCTTTTTGGTTATATTAGGGGTATTTTTGAGGAGGGTGAGTGGTTGAGTTAATTGGTGGTGGGGTCTTGGGGGTGGAGAGTGGGATGATGACATGTGGAACAGTATGATGAGGGATTGAGATGTGGTGTTGTGTTTTGTGGGAAAGTTCATGATGGGAGATGATTGATCAAAACCCATGAGGGCAAGCAAAAAGAGCAATCATGAAAGGGATTTTGACTCTCCATCACTCACTCTCATTCCTCCTTTGTTTTCATCAGGACAAATGGCTTCATCATTGCTTTTAAATGCATTTATTTCATCTTATGCTATTCCATGATAATCAAGTAGGTTTTGAATTTCTTTAACCATAATAATAATAAATAAATAAAACAGTATGAGGTTATTTTTGTAAAATATTATTATATTTATTTTTTAAAATATTTTTATTTAGAAATATATTAAAATAATATTTTTATTTAAAAAAATATTTTTGATATCAGCACATCAAAATAATTTAAAAATATCAAAAAAATATTAATTTTAAAAAAATAATTTTCAATTTCTTTTAAAAAAACTTTTGAAACACAAAAAAAAAAAGAAATTTACTTAATTATTTGTCTCATCAAAAACATCGAAACACAAAAAAAAAATTACTTAATTATTTGTCTCATCAAAAACAAGCTAGAATTTTAGCTATTTCAATTTATTTAGTTATTGTATGGTAAGAGAAAGAATTTAAAAGAAAAGGAAAGATTTATCAAAAGAGGGTTTCTTTCTCTTTTAAAAATAAAAAGTTTTTTATAAAATTATCTTAAATAAAATAGAGTTATTATTGTTATCTTTTTATCTATATATCTTTAGCCAAATATATTATTATCTTTATTTATTTATTTATTTATTTATTATCTTGATGGCTATAGAGCAATAATCCCTCAAGTAATGCAAACTGACTCTTTTTTTTTTCCCTTGTGACTCCATTTCTTTTTCCATACGTGGATTTAATAAAACCGTTAAATGAACACAAATGAAGTTAGATACATGTATATTTGTGATTACTAATCGACTAAATACATGTCAACCTTGATTATTCTGACTGACTTGCCTTTGTACAAAAAAGTCCTAAAGCGCATCGCACACCTTTTACTTTTTATGTCCTCCAAACCTCATGCTTTTCTTCCTTTTCTCGGCAATGGCCAGTTTTTCTTTATCAATCACTTGGTCTACTACTGTGAAGATAAGCTGTTCTTGCATGTTTATAACCTATTTCCTGAATGAATTTTTTTTTAAAAAAACCTGAATTAAAGTCCTAAAAAAGGCCATGTTTTTTAGGGCACGCAAGATTTTCAACACACATGTCTCTTGATCTAAGACAAAGATCGGACACTTCGTTTGCCCTGGTTACCATGATAAAGAGATTACATCATGGGAGTACTTTGCATGAACCTGAATTAAACCCAGCAGCATAGGGCAGGAGTGTAAGTTAAATATTTGTTGTGTAACAGAGAATGGCTTGAGACAACAAGGGAAAGGAGTATATTTGGAATAAGGAAAAAACACAGTGGACGAGGACAAAACCCTGTGTCTCCTAATTTACCTCGCACTTCCTCGACAAATGCCATCAATGGCTGCTTGTCCTAGCTCCAGACAGAATATATCTAGGTAACAGTTTGGTGGGGTGGCATCTGAGATTTTCAGAGAAATTTATATGAGATGCTATGGCGTCATGCCCTTGCTGCAAATCTAATAATTCTAAGGATATTATATTCTAGGGTTTTCTTCCAGGACAAAGGGAATGTGAAAGTGATTATATATATATATATAATTCTTTTTTCTCATTTTATTAATAAAACCATATCTTTTGTATATATTATGACCCTATGTTTTCTAACATTAATGATGAATATAATATTTCATTTGATAATTGTAATTTTATCAAGAAGTTTTTATGTTTTCTATGAATTTTATTGCAACTTTATCAGGACAAGTTTTTATGTTTTCTATGAATTTTATTTACCAAGAGCTTAAATTTTAAGTTTGATTCATTTCAATATATTAGTTTTCAATAATTGTAACATGTATGCTTATGTGTGTAATGTTTAAACGAAAAGTAAATATTTATATTTTTAAATTTAGATATTGTGAGTTTTAAGGTTACGGTGATAAATTTGTTTAAATTCTCACATGAATTTCCATTGATGAACTAAACATAGTAAAATTAATTTATCAATATTTTTCACTTTTAATCAAATATCAGTATCCTATAACTAAAAGAATCGTGACTGCCAAGATTGGTAAAAGATTAACAAAACCTAATCATCCTTGGGAAAATATTGTACACATAGATCTATGTGTGTTATTTATATAATGTCATCTTCATTTTTCTTACTAAAAAAAATTGATCTGGCTATTAGGAATATTTAATTTTTTTCACATGATGCATTAATTATTACTAAATTGGTTGGTAATAAATACAAT